TGTATGTAGGTATGTAGGTATGTAGGTATGTAGGTATGTATGTATGTATGTATGTATGTATGTATGTATGTAGGTATGTAGGTATGTAAGTATGTATGTATGTATGTATGTATGTATGTAGGTATGTACGTACGTAATGTATGTATGTATGTATGTATGTATGTATGTATGTATGTATGTATGTATGTATGTATCTGTAATCATAGATCGACAGGCCGAACTCAACAAACTCGGGAGTGGCAGAATTCGATGTCAGGAGCTCTCTACGCTTTCAGGGAGGCGACAGCTCCAGAAAGAGGTCGCTTCCCGAAGGCGGGTTTCGGTGGATTCAGGGCTTGAGATTCAAGGTGAAGGGTTCAGGTGTTTCAGGTTCGCATTTTAGGCGTAAGAGGGTTTAAGAGTTTAATGTTCGCATTTCAGGGATGAGAGATCAAGAGTTTAAGGTTCGCATTTTAGGGATAAGAGTTTAGAGTTTGCCTCAGGCGGCCCGATCCGGATGAAGAACCCAAGAAGCTAGCACCGCCCCGACCGCAAGGGTGGCTGCTGGGTCGCATTTGGGAGCCATGTTCGGGCTGTGTCTTTAGGGTTTAGGGTTTGAGGTTTTAGTGTCGCGTATTTCTTCACATAAGCGTCATTATTTGATAGTTACTTTGAGCAAGTTGACGAACAAATCGGCACCACACGCCGGTACAGTAGATCTGGCAGAGATTAGCGGCCTAATATAGGGGCCTTCGTTATAACCCTTGTGATCATTATAGTAGAATATTCCCCACAAGCCTATTCTAACATTCAGGCCCCTGCACTAGTCGAAGAAAGCGATGCTGATGGCTTGCCCAGGAACTTCGTCGCAGGGCCGTGGTTCAGTCGAGCGACAGCCTAGGAGCACGACGGTTTGGGGTTTAGGGTTTAGGGTTTAGGGTTTAGGGTTTAGGGTTTAGGGTTTAGGGTTTAGGGTTTAGGGACCGATGCACTTTTTGGACCTTCTCTCGCTGTTGTCAAGATCGGACCGTCAACTTAGCTCTCCTTTTGTTAACGCATCTTTTCCAACAACCCTGGCACGCACTGCAAGTGCAAAAGTGCCGCACGGCCGCCAGGTTGCAGAGTACACTGTTCACCCACGCGAGACTTCTTCACTTCTTCGGAAGTTGAATCCAGCGCGCATCACGGTTTTTTCTGCTCCACCATGTCATGAAGTAAGTCCCGCGCGGGTCCGACAATGCAAAGCAAAAATGCTGCATTTGACGTTTAGGGTTTAGGGTTTAGGGTTTAGGGTTTTAGGGTCTAGGGGTTTAGGGGTTTAGGGTTTAGGTTTTAGGGCTACCGAGAGTCATGTTGGCCGATCACATGGGTGCTTGCACTCATCAGCAGCAGGCGTGGTTTGTCGCGAATGTAGGTAGTATTATTAGGGGATATTAGGGGTACCCCTTAAAGGGTACCCCTTCTGAACCCTACTTTTGGCTCTCTTAAAAGGGACCTTATTGAGAGGGTCTATATCCCCAAGGGTCCCCCTAATCCTAGCTCCCAGAATGCAAAGGATGAACCATGGCCAGATCAGGCCCCAGTTTTCTTCCAGCAGAGTATGGACGCCTCAACAATTACCAACATTACTCTGTAGGGTTCCTTGTTATCTTTACACGGTGATAATATATATATATATATATGTACACTTGTATCATTGTTACATCCCAAAGGCCTTCTTGCAATCATTGAGGCCCCCATCTTATTTATGCTGCCGTGTTTTCAGGACGTGAAAGGTGCCGGCAAACAGGGCTTTCTACCTGTCTGTCGACAGAGAGCAGGCAGGTAGCTACCGATGACTGGGAGCAGCGAAGATCCCTAAACCCTTAAGCCCCTAGCCCCTAAACCCCTGAACCCTTTAAACCCGTAAACCCCTAAACCCTAAACCCCTGAACCCTAAACTCCAACCCCTAAACCCCTTAAGCCCTTAAGCCCTAAACCCGGGTCTAGGATAGTTGGAGTTCAAGGTTCTCATCGCCGTGAGTCGGCTAAGTCTGCTAGCCTGGTTTCTGCGGCAAGCCACTGCAAGAACTTCAATCGATAGACCTTACTGTCCGTCCCTAAAACCTTTGCTCCAAGAGCATGCTTTTGTGACGCATAGATTAGATTAGGGTTGAGGGTTTGTGGGGTTTTGGGCTTCGTGCCTGGGGGGTCTAGAGTTTTGGCAATCGGGCATGCGTAGCGTTCCGTGGCTTGGTATATTGTCCATTGCTACGTGGGTGGAACTGGACGACCCTACATATATAAATCCCTAGATCCCTCAACCCTGAACCCTAACTGTGTCCGGAGGGAAGGGTGCTGGTCCCGATCATCGTGGCACCCGTGCCCCAATTTCTTTGAAACTTGTCTTACGCCCCGATAGGTGTGTGTGTGTGTGTGTGCCATTTATCGTTTTGAGGGATGGTTGAGGCGAAAACTCCCGTCCCCGTCCTAGCCCCTTTTGGGGTGTTATGGGGCGCAGACCCGTGCAAGTGTCAACTCGAGTGTCCTGGCAGAAAAGAGAGTGCAGGGGCCCAGGCATGAAAGGATCAGTTGTGGCTTTTGTTTGTAAAGGCTCTGGTCCACATCCCAAACCCTAAACCCTAAACCCTAAACCCTAAACCCTAAACCCTAAACCCTACACCCTGAACCCTAACCCTTAAACTGTGAAGAAGTTGCAGCCGCGCTCCCCAAACCCTACCAGAAGAGGACATTGTGACAATGCAGGACTTCTAGTGGGACACGACATGGCAGGGCCCATGTCATGACAAGGGTCCGTACTTGAAGGGTTTAGGGTTTAGGGTTCAGGGTTTAGGGTTGGAGGGTCGGGGGACTTAGTAAGTAGTTATTTAATAGACTTATAAGTATCACAAGCTCAATTAGGGTCCCTTTTAGGTCACTTCTAAGTCTACTTATTACTTACTTACTAAGTCCCCCGACCCTCCAAGTGGGGGTGTAGCAACTCCTTAATCATTAGAATAGGGTTTGGGGGTATATTACACTATACTTCTAATTAGGAACGCCCTCAAAAGCCTACGGCCCCTACATTAGTTATTTTATAGACTTATAGGCATCATAACCCCTAGGGTTTCTTTTGGGGTACTTGCAAGTCTACTTATTACCTACTTACTAAGTCCCCACGACCCTCCAAGCAGGAACCCTGACGCTGATCTCTTTGCGGCCTGCGGTTTAGGGTTTAGGGTTTAGGGTTTAGGGTTTAGGGTTTAGGGCAAGATATCAGCAAAAGTCTTGACCTTGCGCTGAATTTCCTGTTTAGGCCTGGGCCGAGAAAAGGGTTTTTGCGGAGTTTACCAGTTTCTGAGTCCGTGCTCGCGGCTTGAGTTTGAAGTTTAGGGTTTAGGATTCTGGGGTTCGGGTTAAGGGCCAAACCCCCTAAACCCCTAAACCCTACACCCTTAACCCTAAACCCGTAAACCCTAAACCCCTAAACCTTCGCCCCTAAACCCAAAACCCTTACCCGTAAACCCTAAACCCTAACATGTTTAAAACCTGGGTCCATCCCAAAGCGCAGGGGCCCACAGCTGAAAAACTGCAGCCCCGTAACCAGCCCTTATTCACTTCAGAATAGGAAATCTGAGGTGTCTACAAGGTTCTCACGAGGGCTCGTAGATTCTGCAAGCCTTTTTCTCGAACCTCGCAAGCACCTACCCAGAGAGCCCAATACCCCTTAAATAAGGAATATGGCTTAAACTGTAAGGGGCTTCAAAAGAGATTTAAGCTATATTCCTTATTTAAGGGGTATTGGGCTCTCTGGGTAGAAAGTCCATGAGACACCCTAACAGCCCGCTGATGGACAGGGCGCCCCTGCTTGGCTACACCGGATACCTGTTGCCAGATGAGGTGCACTCATGGGGCTTAGGGTCTACGGTTCCGGGAGCAAGGTTCAGAGTTTAGGGTTTGAGGTTTAGGGATGGGTTTTGGATAACAGGGTTCAGGGTTTAGGGTTTACGGATGGGTTTTGGATAAGAAGGTTCAGGGTTTGGGGTTTCGAGTTTAGGGATGGGTTTTGGATAGCAAGGTTCAGGGTTTTGGCCTATAGTATTCCTGCGGGTTCCTTACTGTATATAGAGCATAGTCCACCCCAAACCGATGCTAGTTATCAAGGCCCCTTTATTACAGGGGCCTAGGGTTTAAGCCATAAGCACCTCCCCATTCCTGAGCCCGTCACCCTAGCCCAAACCCCTACCTTAAACTCCTCTTCGTTTTAGCCCGAATTCCTTCTTCCCATATTGAAGCTGGCCAACCCTAAACCCTAAACCCTAAACCCTAAACCACCCTTAAGAAGCCCGCAAAAGCCCGCATAATTGCCGACCATAGAGCCGAAGACGAGGCCACTCTCGACCCGCATGTCTTCGCAAACTTCATGCAAAAGACCTCCGGCCGCAGGTTCGGTTAGGGTTTAGGGGTTTAGGGTTTAGGGTTTAGGGGTTTAGGGTTTAGGGTTTAGGGGTTTAGGGTTTAGGGCTGAGTAAGTCAGGTTGCAGGTACCTTGTTTCGATGATGATCTAGTAGATACAGTATTATTCCCTAGGGCCCCCTGTTATAATCATAGTACGAATTAAGGAGCCCGAAACCCTAGTCTAATTGTT